ACAAAATAATACTTGAAGATTACATTGAATATTGACTTGATAAATTAATAAAGAATATCATATGTTGGGTAAACTTGGCCACGTACTATACTTCTTATAGTACATGCTAATAATATAATAAATATATTTTTGTAATCTTAAATTTATATTAAAAAAAATTTAACTTTTAATTTAACAAATATTTAATTAAACTCATTTACTTGATATTAATATTAAAATTAATATCACACTTGCATTCTCCCATGTCTTTAACAATCCCTCTTCTTAACAAATTCACCTTAGTTGGTATTCTATCTACCAATAGTTGCTAGTTGAATGTTGATATTTTGCTCGGTCGAATAGAATTCCATAGTCTTTTGTAGATTGTAGTTCCATTTGATCTCCTTTGTTCCCTTGTTAACGTTGAGTATGCTGTTTTAGTTGAGTACAGACCATCTTTTTTTTTGATCAGCAAAGAAAATATATTATTCATGGAGTACAGGACGTACTCAAAATCCATTACATTACTAAAACATAAAGTTCCATTCATAGCAAAAGCTCCTGGAAATATGACCGCAGCCTACAGCAATAGAAAGTGATCAAACACATGATTTCAAAACATTTATCCATCATATTTCTACCGTCATCAAACCTTCTTCAGTGATGTCCATTGAGTGCTCAATAATCTCAAACTCGTTGCTGCATTCTCGTGTAGCCTTCTGTTGGTTTTGAACACCATTTGTCTTGCACAAGGTCTGGGCATAATGCTGTTTTGCACCAGTAAAATGATCTAAACTTTATCAGCTCAACAACTTGCTCCCTAGTGTCAACTCCATCTTTAAATATTTTCTGGTTTCGCCAAATCCAAATAGACCACATAGTTGCAAACCAAACAACAGCCACATTTCCTTTACCATACCTGTGGATATCATGCCAGTGTGTTGCTCAAGATGGGGCCATCCTTTACTGTGGCTAGCTACTTTGAGATCCCACCAGTCATAGCATGATGCCCAAATGCTCCATGATACGTTACACTTGAAGAAAAGATGTTCCACGCTTTCTGCTTCTAGATCACACAGCACACATTTTTCATTGCCTTGGTCATTCATTCCCCGCTTCATCAAGTTGTCCTTTGTTGGGATTCTATTTTGCAATAATTTCCATGCAAACGTAGTCACTTTGAGAGGTACGTTTTTATTCCATACCAGATCATATTTTTGGCCAAAACCTGCAGTGTGTTGTTGGCTTAAGTATTTGTATGCTGTTTGCACTGAGTACTTGCCCTCTCGGCTGTGTTTCCACATCCATGTGTCTTGCTGTCCTTTTTTCAATGAGATTCCTTGCAATTCGTTGATTAATTCTTGCAAAAGTTCGTTTTCCCAAACAAAAAGGTTTCGCCTCCACCTCTATTCCCATTCCCACTTCCCTTGATTCCAGCTACCCATATCTACAATGGCAGCCTCTTGATCTAAAGAAATTCTAAATAACCTATTGTATTTCTCCTTAAATGGAATTTCCCCAACCCAAATGTTGTGCCAAAATAGAGTATCACTTCCTTCCCCTACTGATTTTAACATTCCTTCTCTCACCCAGTTTCTCCTAGATTCAAGATTCCTATCTAGACTCCATAAATCTCTCCACCATGATGAGCACCTAACTCACCATTCTCCCCCCTCCCACTCATTTTTTAGAGTAAGCTTGTATTTTGCCTCCAGCACCTTCCTCCATAGATTCCCTTTTTCTTGTAACAGTCTCCATCTCCATTTTCCTAGTAAGGCTAAATTAAAAGTCCCGACATCTTTCACCCCTAATCTGCCTTCTCTTATACTACTACAAACTCTTTTCCACTTAACCCAAGAAATCCTATTCTTTTCTTCATTCCCTCCCCAAAGAAATTTGCGTTGGATTAAGGAAATAAGATTAAGTACCTGTTTAGGAGCCTTCATCGAAGAGAAGTAATACACAGGGATACATGATAGGACCGAGTTCAGCAGAGTGATACGCCCACCAAAAGACAATGCATTACACCTC